ATGGTTTGTGGAGCTTTTGTACTTGCTTGACAGACTGCTGTTGTTGCTTGATTTCTGTGTAACAGAAATACTAGCATGAGAAAGGCTTCTCTTGCTCAAATGAAATTAGGTCCTTCAGAACACAAACATGTGGTGACGGTGAAACTGAAGCCGGTGATTCAGCCGTGGCACCAAGAAGCTGCCATATGTGTCTTTGTCCACTCACTTTCTTCCTGGAACACGTGTTTCTTTTTCTTTGGTTCTGTGGGTATTACTAAACATGTTTTCTTGTGGAAAACTAACACTTGATAACAAATTGTTTTCTAATACAACCAGCCTATAATCTTGACTGTCAGAAAGTACAGTTGCTGAGAATTTTTATCCAATAATCTTGTTTTAAGTATGTTTAAGGGTCAGTTTGACCCAGTTATAGCATAGCTATAAGAAGGGGGAAGAAGGAAGCTGACACATGGTTTAGTAATTCAAGGATAGCATTAAAAAGAAGGAGTTCAGAGTTCATGTGGTAAGTGTTGCTTGGCCAGCAAAAGGACAGCGTTCCACTAAGAACTATGAAGTGACGTGTTTGGAGATGGCTTTTCAGTGCAGGGTTTGGGATCTAGGGTTAGCTTGCTTTGCCCTTAAACTGCTCTGGCATGGTGTGTTTCTTGTAATGCCTGGCTCATCCATGGAAAGGCTAGAAGTGGAAGAGCTGAAACTACGAATTGTGCTGGTTCTTTCTTGCGGTGCGTTAGTCTCTTAAAACAGAAGCATTTAGTAGGTGGATAATTGTATGAAGAGACAGAAGAGGTATCGTGATGGCTCAAACTTCATTGTAAAGTTCCTAGGTATGTTATAACATGTACTTTGCTTTACAGGTAATACAGTCCTAGTGCAACTGTTTCTGGATAGGAATCAATGATTATCAACCCTCTAAGAGGGTGCCCTCTTAAGCTCTGTTTGAGGAGTAAGACCTTGCTACGTTTCTTTGTATAGGAATAGGAAGACAACAACTCAGTTACTTTGAAACCTTTCTTTTGTGAGGTGATTTTAAGGAAAAGAGTTGTTTGCAAAACATATGCAAATGCACCTGTGAAAAAATACCCTGTAGGTTTCCGCAGTCAGCATCGATGGTGTTAACTGGCTCTTCTAGTAAAGAGGAAAAGTGACTGCGCCAAGCAGACAGGAGCACTCTCTCAAGGAAGTGCAGGTAGTACCACAAATAACTCACCTGACTTTATGTTGGTGTTCTGTAATAATCTTCTGCCTTAGCTTAAAGAAAAAATGAATACAAAAAATAGCATCAAATTTTTTTTTATAAACCTTAATGAATTTATATTCTCTAGATTTTTTTTTTTTCATCTACAGAAGCAAAAGCTGAGTCTGATTTGCTCTTGTTACCTATAAATGCCCACATTCCTGCGTTATGTCTGGCAGAGCCAGGAATAGATCAGCTGTTGTGACTCCATATCCAGTGCCTTAAGTACATCACTGACCTTCCTCTACTAGCAGGATATCTCCATTCCATATGTTGTTATAAAACCCTTACTTGGAACTACTAACTCTTACTAAGAGCTTCTCAATTCTTGCCCACTCAGTGTAGTCACGCTTTCTTTAGTGGCAAGAAGTAGAACTGGTTTATATTTTGAAGTATCTAAAAAGTATCTGCAGAGTGTTTTCAGAACTGTATCTGGTAGCTTAGTGACAAAAATAGGAGTGAAAAGCTGCATGAACATATTCATTTTACAGAGCTCTCAAGCAAGTGAACTGGATCTGATTTCCTTCCTGTCCACCAGCACCCGCAAAATTCTTTGCAAACCTGCCACGGATAAGTCAAATCTTTTACCTGTAGAAAAAAAAAGTGATTATATATATATTTCCATGAAGACATAATTGGCTTTCAAAGCTTTTCTGTATCTCACATTTATCAACAGAACTCATCTTGTCTTTTCAGGTGATGAAGTGATTCTGCAAAGCTTGCACTTAGAAGTTGAGATGTCATTATTTTATTTTATTAAATTGGTGTTTGTGAAATTTAAGAGATGAAGATATTCCTCAGTGTCATTTTAGTACTCTTGGGTGCAGCTGATGTGTACTTTCATTAGTATAAGTAAATTACTGTAGTATTGTTTAAAACCAAATCAGATCTGAATTTTTATTACATTATTATCTATCTGATTTTACACCTAATTACATACCTATATGTAGAATTGTATTATAGATAACATTCAATAGTATATATTATATAAAATATAAAGATAATAAAGCATATAAACAATGATATGCATAATTATATATTTTTTATATATTACATTGTTATATATCAGATCTGGATTTTTATTACGAAGTGAAACACAACACTTAAGTGTTTGCTTACTTTCTAAATAGGTTTCCTCTGTATATCTGACTGGAGAAGATAAAATACAGATAGTCTCACTGAGGAAAATAATCGTCTGCTTCACCTTGCAGACAAATAGGTCAATATTATTCATAGAATAAAAAGCTGTACATGCTTTTCAAGAGCCAAGGACCTTCAGTGCCTAGGGGTAAGGAAAAATGGCTTGGGTTATTTTTGTTTCTTTCCCAATAAAGCCACTAGTGCAATGCACTGAGATTTACAGTTATTCTTTCCCAAACATTTTTCCCATAACATCCAAGGAAAAAAGATTGTAGAGGGAGTTTTTTGTTCTAGTGCTGCAAACATGTGCATGTCTAATATTCCTGGGAGTAAAATGCCTACAGGATCAGGCTCTGTACCACAAAGTTGTTTTCTGAATCTTACAGCAAAATTTTGAAGCTATATGATAGAATATTGAGAACGTGCTCCCATAGGAAATAAAAGCATTGTGCCTGAAAGGTAAAAACCTAATTGCAAACACTTGACATTTATCATAGCTATCTCCAGTAGAAAAGGATGTTTATTCCAAATGTTACAGAATTAGCACTTTAAACTTGATATCTAGAATAGTTTTTTATTCTTCTGATTTCTCAAAACAGTCATAAGGATTTTGGACTGGAGCTTAACAGAGAAAAATAAAAGTAAGTATAATACTGTAAACCTAGAAGATTAGTTGCTGTGCATCTGTTGCTGCTATAGACTCGGGGTAAAATGAGTCGAAGTTAAAAATGAACCTTTCTTACTGAGCCAAGGAAATGGCTAATATCTGATGTATTTTAACTGGGCTTATGGCTTTATTAAAAGCTCTTGGTTTAAAGTTAACTGAACAAGGATCAAATGTTTGTCTCCAAACAAATTCCCTTTGTGACTTGGAATCAGTTTCTTTTCAGGTTTTTTCCACCCTGTATGTCTCCATCAAGCACAACAGGTTTTGAAAGTTTAGGAAAATATTTGTCTTCCTATTACTTGGCAATATTTTATTACTATTTGAGAGCTGCAGGTAAAATGCCAGTGCGCTGCAGGTTTTAATTTTGGGGAGGAAGCTATATTCTTTTTGTATTTACGGTGTTTGTTCTTCTTGTTCATCAACAGAATTTACCAAAGTCCTACTGATTTTAGGATTTCAGGAAAGTAAATTAGCATGAAAATAGGTGCTTTGAATCCTGGTGCCAATGACTTCTTATGTAGTTTTTGCCACTTACAAACCCCTCAAACCAGAAAATTACGTGAAATCACACTGTTTATCTTTAACTTGCCAGTGTATAGTTTATGATGTCCTGGGGAGGAGATTTTTTTCTAGCTATTTTGGGATTGCTGCAGAGTGTGCTCATCTCCAGTTACTGGGAGAGAAAACACTATCAATATGATCTAGAGAATTTTAGCATGGTTTATTATAATATTTGCCAAGTTCTGTATGCTTCTAGGACATATACATCAGAAGTGTGCTGAGTCATACACTTGCAGTAATTTTCTATCAAATTACAGTAGTCTGTATATCTGATACATTATTGTTTGAGATGTTATGAATACTTAGTACAAATAATTTTTGCAGAATGTCTGCAGTCTTCACCTATGGTGAGCAATGTTTCTGATGCGAACTGCTTGTTCAAGACTTATAAAAGAAATATCCAATATCACAGTTCTAACATCTGTTTAATAATTTGGTTTACAATAGGATTATTGCTTACTCATGCTGCATAAAAACAGAAATCTTTTTTTCGGCTGTTAAGCATGTTATGAGACCTTAAAAAAAAGATTATAGTTTGCCTTATCATATAAGCAATGTAAAATCTTACCCTTCTTGACAAAGAAGGAAGGAAAAAACCCTGGCTTCCTTAGTAGACCCATGTTAATGAAACCAGACTTGTTATGCAGATATTTGGTATAATAAAGTAAATATGTGAGCAGGGGTGATCAACAACTTGAGTTCGTAAAACAGTCTTAAATTTCACTCACTTTTAATGTTATATGTGCCACATTTTTAGGCCTTTGTTGCATTGCAGAGGTAGAAATTTCAGTACTTTAAGTAAAAGGGGAGTTTTGCTGCTGCTTTGAATAAAGGTAGTTAAGAATCATAGAACTAAACTCCATGGATTCAGTGTATGTAGTCTTATGCTCAGTTACTTTCCTGAAACCCTAAGATCAGAAGCACTGAAGAATATTGTTTTTGCTGGAAAAAGCCAGGAAAAAAACCCCTATATATAAAAACACACTATAAAAAAATCACTGTAGCCACTCAGTGTAAAGTGCTAGAATACAGTCTTTAACCATTTGGGTTTTGTTTTGACAGTGAAGACAGGGTTCTGAGTGATAAAAATGCATGTTATGCTTATTTTTTGCAGCCAGAGATATCAGTGTGGGCCTTTCCAAGGTCAGAAGACGAGTTTTTCAAGCTCTTTGGTTGGTTGATTTCTAGTTAGCCCTACCCCAGTGTCTTCTGTGATTGGCTTTGAGTAGGACTGGATTCATATAAACAGAGTGACATTTGCTACATCCTTAGCCTTTTCTTTGCACTGACTCTCCAATATTTGGGTTATGAGAAGTTAGGCTTCAAGGAATATTGCTAACTGCTTTGTTCTGCTTCATATTATCACCTGGATGAAGGTTGGCGAGTTCTGTGAAAAGCATGAGTTTGTCTTCAAGAAGAGTAGCATTGTCTGCAGTTATGCCAATTACTCTGCAAAAATGGGTATAGCATTTAAATCAGTCTTGTAATTCTGACTTTAGTATGGGTTGGTAATACACTCTCTTAGTGTAAATGAATAATGTTTAAAAGAAACAGGGCTATATTTCATTTTTCACTTAATTTTTTTATTTAGTATAATAACAATTTTTCTTTTCTGATAAATGTATATTTTTAAATTTCATTTTGTGAAATACATGTATACATATATTTGTGTACATAATTGAATACTTGTTACTGTGCTTTTTTCTCTGTTAGTATAATTCTGTACCTTGTGCAAGAAATTGATTTTGCTTACAGATTAATGTAGTTTTTAAACGCAAAGTGTCATAATTACATTTCAGAATATTAAAATATGCCTCTGTAGAAGGCTATGGTACCGTTCCTAATGGAGGATTATTGGAGTCTGCTTCCACAGACTTTGGATCAGCCTTAAACACAACATACTTTTTCCTCATCCTCTCTGGCTAACAAAAACCTTAATAGTGGGTGGTCCATCATGTATTTTGGGAGTCAGGGTAACACTGTACGGTGTTTCTCCATAGCCACTGTAGCTTGCCTTTTTCTGGTATCTTGCTAAAAAGCAGAAGCAATGCAAAATAATTACGCCTGTAGGATTGCCTAGTGTAACTCTAGTCATTGGGGGTATCTGTGAAGTTAAAAATACACACAGAAGTGAAGTATGGAAATATGACTCTCTGCTAAGCCAGATATATTAACTTCTAAGAAGTTAGTTGAAACAAACTGTAAGTAATTCATTAGTTCGATTTATTTTGTAAATGTGTAGATATTTTTCAAAAATTCATTGCTGCATAATGTGCCTGAATCACTGTTAATAGACTCTTCTGTTACTCAGAGGCTTTTAATATACCAGCAGTGTGAAAAATGAAATTTCACTGAAATATTGCTACAGTATTAAATGGTTCTCATGAGCAATTTACACAGGACACAGCATATACTTCTTATGGCATAAGTCCAGTGGATCTGAAGTAGAATATGAACACATAGCTTTCATTGATTTGGGATATATGGTATTCTTTCAGATCACTTCATTGTTTGAGTTGGAGGGGAAGCCAAGTGTGATTGATTAGTACAGATTAGATTATACTACTGTCTTAATAACATAATCATATACTACTTTTCTGGTATAGTAATTTCCCTTTCAGATTTAGATGGGTGCCAGATGTGCTCTTGCACAGTTTTATCCTAACAATTTGGTGTATCTCTGCTACACTTCTCAGAAATACTCTTTTTAAAATTGCATTTTAAGTTTAACTTCTCAGCTCTCATCCTCTCAATCCTATATCTTCCTCTCTCCCCCCCGCCTCCCAACACCCCACCCAGTCTTAAGTCTTCAGTTGTCATAGTTGTTTTATTTTTGGCTGTTCTTTGGTTATTTGTATGTTAGGAGATGAAGGTCCTTTATTCTTGCAGCATGTAGTTTAGTTGTGTTGGACTCCTCTGGTATGCACACAGCAGTACTTGGTGCTACGTGGGAGGGGAGAGATGTGTAACTTTGCTCAATCGAGCATACAGAAGGCCAGGAAACTCAGTTTTAACTGTACTGTGTATTTCAATGGATTGATTTTCTTTTTTTTGCTGTTGAGTGGTGAGCATCATTCTCCCAGGAAACTTAGGGGTTTTCCTCTTTTGACAAATGTATGGTGAGTAATATAATTCTCTCCTATTTTAAAACACAAATACTTTCACACTAATATTGTCAATGGTTACTGGCTTTACTTCTCTTTATCTGTGCACTTTGTAAGCCCAAAATAAAAACAATGGAAGTAGTAGGAGGAAGCAGCACAGGATGTTGCCTGCTGTAGGTAGGTATTGGGACACACACAGTTGCAAAAATTCTCAAAGGGGCTCACTGTATGCCAAATGTATAAGTCCTGTTTATGCTTGTGATGTTTGTATCTATGCACATAGAATTCCTCCTAAAAAGTATCTCTTATCTCTGTTCAGAAGGTGCTTTTGTTATTTCTGTAGCAATTCCCTATTTTCTGGAACTAGAATACTGCAGGGAGGGAAGGCAAGAAGGCAGCAGGCAAGAAAGAGCCTTGCTTGTAAGGGGTAACATTTGTGCATGCATGTGCATGTGTAAATTTGTTTTTGTTTCTCATGGACATTAGAACCTTAGACATCACCTTTGACTTAAAGTAGTGCAACTTCTATTTTTTGTTACGCAAGAAGGACCTGGTGATGTAAGAATGTTATGTTAGCACTGCATAGTTAAGAGAAGCCTAAGCATTAGTTCATAAAGTGTTGTTTTAGGTTATCGATATCCCCAATGATTATTTCTTAAATTCATGGAAAGGGTAATTGTGTAAGAAGTGAAGTTTCACTTCACTCCAAAAATTGCAAGTATTTTTTTTTCTTTTTTTTTTTCCTCCCTCACAAAAGGTAAAATTTTGCATTATCAATGTGCTAATTTGGCTGTTCTGCCAGTTTCTTGAATACATGGATTTTTCTCATTTTCATTCCAAATATCTAATATGCTTTGTCCAGAGTTACTTCATACTTCTTTCTATTTTAAAATCTGATATGAAGTACTTATTACAGTTGATGTGTTTTATTCTTAAGTAATATATTTTAAACTAAAGCTACAGGGCCTCATTCAGATTCCAAGGGGTCTTTTAGCACAGGCAGAAAAATCACTTGCTTAATAAGCATGGGGAATTATGCATATTGAATACTATTAAAACCAGATTTATAGTGTGTATATAGACTAGACATAATTAATCCAACACAGAGTAAATATCTTCTTTATCTTTTGTATGAATAACTTTGTACTCTTCTAAAAATGTTTTTAAGAAATTGGATTTAAAAGGTCATGATGCATTCAAGACATTGTTTTACAGTCAGTTAAAGACCGATCATTTATTCAAGATGAACACCCACAAGTCTGCTAGACTTGTTAAGTGGTAAGTAGAAGAGTACTTACGCACCTGATGTTGGATGCAAGGTGTATAAACAGTGAGAGCTGTAGTTTTTTGCATAGCAGCTGGGAACTTCATAGCATACTAGGTCACACAGTGTTAAAAAGCCCTGTGTACATAGGTGGTACGTGTTGCAGCTGAATAATTTCCAGTGGTTCTTGAAGAGATTGCATAGTGACTTTTAAATGGAAGAAATATTGATTAGAAAATGAGGATGTGGTTTAGATTGCTTAAATCTAGGACCAGTATAAGCATACAAATTTCAAGATTCTCTTGTGTCTTTATTCCATCTATTTTTCTGGCCTGAAATCACACGCCGCTTTAATCAACACCCATCCCCCAAGGAAAAATGGTCACTTAAGCCAGATTGTACTGAGAACTAGTAATGTCTGGCTGCAAGAGCATGAAAGTAGTTTTTTGGTTTTGCATTTGGGTTCCCTGAGATGAAAGGCCAATGTGCTAATCCAGGAATTTTACATAAGGCACTTTAAGTGACTTGATAATGGTGTCATTAAATGGGTACCTTTTATAAAATAACTGGAGTCAGACAGCACTCATGTATGAAACATCTCTTTGTAAGGACAGCTAGAAAAATAGTCATTTAAAGGTGCATAAACAACACCCGTGCCTTCTTTCTGTTTTGTACAGTAATAAAAATAAAACATGAAATAATATAATAGTAAATACAATAATAAAGTAAAAGAAAGGGTAACATCCCACAAAGATTTGAAGACAGATGAGAGGTTTAAGTGTGGGGGGGACGACTTGAGTATGCTTTAGGAACAGTGGTCAGAAAACCTGTGGTGGTTGAGGTGAATTATTTGAATCACTGTAAGGTGTTACTCCTAATGGAATATTTTGTTTCATGACTTAGTGAGGGATCTGGGAGAATATAATGGGGATAACCACAGGTAAAGCAGTAAGGTGGGCCTGACTGAAAATTCAGTACAGATTTAGACTTTAGAGATAAATTACTATGATAAAGCGTCAGGATATGCTGCTACTGGATCTGCAGAGCTTGATACAAACAGTAAAGGTTTTGAGCCTGAACAAGAGTTGAGGAAGGTTGAGGAGGAGGAATATGTGTGGGAATGGTCAGAGACACAAACTGAATTCCGAGGACTGGTAGTGTGTTTTTTGGAAGAAGTTTATGTTTAAAATTGCTGGAAGGCCAAGCTAGTATGTAAGCTCAAGGGAAGGTCTTGCCACCTTTATGTATTTAACATGTGCTAAGATAGCTGCTTTTTGTTTGGGGAGATCTGGAATTCTTCCTTCCTCTTGATATTACATAATAAATTGTGAAAATACTTTTGTAAGGGCCTCCCTCAGATACTTGTTTGAGGGAACATACAACTTTCATGCTAGCTATGAAAAGATTCAATGAACTGACTAGAATTCAGTCATCTGTCATACTGTACTTGAAGATACTAAATTACCTACTCATGGTAGAGGCTGACGTGATGCTAGAGATTCAGTTTGTGGGTGATGAGGAAGAAGGAGGGTGGCAGACTAGCATTTTCTGTCATTGTGGAAGAGATCTGGTTAGGTCCAGGGAGTGTTTAAGAGAGAGCTACTGGCAGGGCCTCCTCAAGGGAAGGTATTGCAGGACTTTTCCCCTCCCTGACAATGTTGGCCAAATAAATATAGATCCAATACTATACTTGAGAAGGGTCCTGGGACCATTTTTTGCTTTGAATATGTACTCTTTATACTCAAGCAGGCACCTAAAAATGGATTCTGGTATAGCAACGTGTTAGTCTGGTTGGCCAATCATATTTCTGGCTTTGAATAACATGAAACCAGTAAAGCTTCCTACCATTTTTATTTTGTATAAAAAGGATCCCGCAAGTATAAATGAAATCAAAATGGAACTAATTGTAGCAGTCCCTACAGTTCAGCTGGTGGGGTGGAGAGGGAGGTTTTTTCTATCTCGTGACATTCCAGTCTCTACAGGGAATCAAATGTTACAGAATATTTTGTACACAAAATCATCAATAATCTCAGAATTTAAAATGTATAGCACTATGCTTCATCATTGCTGTGAAAGGTAGGGGGTGTGTGTGT